TGCCAAAAGAGGGATCGGTTGTTGTCTGATTATCTCAGGGAATTCAAATTAATTTGCGATCAGTTAAACGCAATTGGTAAGCCCGTGGATGAGATAACGAAGGTTTTTGGCGTTTTGGAGGGGTTAGGCTCGGAATATGAGAATTTCAGAACCACAATTTACTGCTTGAAACCTCAACCCGATTATGATGAGGTCATTTCACAGCTTGAGAGATTTGAGGCAAGGCTGCAAAATTACTCCTCTAATCAGTTTAACCCCAATTTGGCATATTATGGGCAGAGAACCATTGAGGGTGAACAGAAACTGGATTTTAACGGTGGGGTTTAATTCACCGGATTATGCGTTTGTTAGTCGGAAGGGAATAATCGGTTTTATGAAGGCGAGAGGTGGAAGGAGTAATGGTAGAGGGCGTGGCTATGACAATGGCGAGGCCGTGGCTTTGGTTATCAAGGGAGAAATCGAGGCTACGGACCCATGGCATGAATCGGGAGGCACTAGGGTTCGGGACAACAGAATTTTCTTATGGTTCGGTCAAGGTTTAAACCCTATGCAAGTTCTTCACAGAGGTACCAAGATGTTAAGTCCTACCCCTCACCCAATTCACCTGAGAACAAGAATTATCAAGAAGAAAGAGCACATGAGAATGTGAGAGTTGCTTGTCAAATTTGCAAGCGTCCGGGACATGACGCACTAAGGTGCTGGTATCGATTTGATAACTCCTTCCAAAGTGTGGAAATCCCAACTGCACTTGCTGCCATGCATCTTGAGGACCCAAAGGGAAGTGAATGGTACCCGGATACGGGTGCCACAGCTCATATCACCGCAAATCCCGGTATAATTCACAACCCTTCAAAGTATAGTGGTAATGATAGTGTTATGATAGGTGATGGATCATGCCTTCCTATCACATTTACTGGTAATGCTTTCCTTCATACTGAGCTTGATATATTACCCCTTAATGACGTATTGGTGGTTCCAGAAATAACGAAAAACCTTCTATCAGTCTCAAAGCTAACCGATGATTATCCTTGCTCTTTTGTTTTTGACAAATATGGTGTTTATGTCAAGGACAATCAAACCAACTCAGTACTGATGCTCGGAAGGAAAATTGGGGGACTTTGCGAGTCGATCAACAAGCAAGCGAGGCTCTTTTTACTCAAAGACACAAGGCGTGGGTGAAGAAATGTGGCACCGAGGCTTGCTCACACAAATGCTCAAACACTTAAAGTTCTGCAGAATCGAAACTTATTCGATGGAATAAACAAGCTCGAGGCCATGTGTGGGAGGCTGTCGGATTATAAAGAGTGCTAAGTTGTCATTTCCTTTATCGAGTACGCAACCAATTTTCCTCTAGAAAGGATTCATTGTGACATTTGGGGTCCGTCGCCGAGTAAAAATCCTTTCAAGGTTTCAGATTTTTTATGTCATGTTTGTAGATGACTTTTCCCGTTATAGTTAGGTATATCCAATGAAGTTAAAGTCGGAGTTTTATGATATCTTCATTCTCTTTCAAAAATGTGTGGAAAATCAATTCGACCGCAAAATCAAAGTGTTTCAAAGCGATGGAGGGGGAGAGTTTACTAGTACGAAATTTCAGAAACATTTGCAGAACTGTGGTATAAAGAATTACATGTCATGTCCATATACCCCGGAACAAAATGGGGTTTCAGAAAGGAAACATCGACATCTCGTGGAGCTCGGGTTGGTTATGCTTTATCACGCGAGAATTCCACTGATTTACTGGGTCGATTCATTTTTGACTGCAAACTATATCATCAATCTCCTTCCAACCCCAAATCTGCAGTTGGACAGTCCTCATAGTAAGATTTTTGGGCAAAAACCAAGATATGATTTTCTCAGAGTATTTGGTTGTGCCTGCTATCCTTGTCTCCGACCGTATGCGCAACACAAATTTGATCCCCGTTCTCTCACTTGTGTGTTTCTTGGTTACAGCGAGAAGCATAAAGGGTACCGTTGTCTTGTACCAACAGATGGGAGGATATATATCATCAGAAACGTTACATTCGATGAAGCTCTCTTTCCATTTGCTCAAAAGTTGAATGATGTGTTCCCTCAATATACAATTTTGTATAAGAAATGGGTTGAAGAAGTGAAGTTCATGGGATCTGCTAGAGAATCACAGTCAAGAAATAGTGCACATGATAATTCGGATTTTTTACAAGATAATGATGTCCTTGAGATTGGACAAATCAGAGTGCCTTACAAGGAAACACCTATGTCACAAATGTCTCCCACTACTGAGTTGGAGAACACGTGTGTTCATGAACAATATGAAGAAACTCAAGCAACTAACAGTTGTGAGCCACCTATATCAAATGCAGTGACTTCTGAACAGCCAAGAATCACTTCTACTCACCAAATGCAGACACGGCTTAAATCTGGGATTGTAAAGCCCAACCCCAAATACGCGTGCCTAGTTGAATACCAAGTTCCTGCAGAACCCAAATCTGTAAAATCAGCACTTGCACATGAAGGTTGGAATAAGGCCATGAGAGAGGAAATAGATGCCTTGCATGAGAACCAGACCTGGATTTTGGTTCCACGCACTAATCAAATGAATGTAATCGGGTGCAAATGGGTATTTAAAACCAAGTTGGCCGCAGATGGGAGCCTTGACAAATTAAAGGCACGCTTGGTGGCTAAAGGCTATCACCAAGAAGAGGGGATCGATTTTCTCGAGACATTTAGTCCTGTGGTGAAACAGGCGACAATTCGCATTGTCCTCTCGGTAGCTATGGTGCAAAAATGGTCAATACACCAATTAGATGTCAAGAACGCCTTCTTGCATGGTGCGCTTAATGAAACGGTATATATGGAGCAGCCCCCAGGATTCTTGAAACTCCCTAATCATATATGTTTGCTCCGAAAGTCTCTGTATGGTTTGCGTCAGGCTCCGCGTGCATGGTTCGAGAAATTCAGCAATTTCCTTTTGGAATTGGGCTTTTTCTGCAGTGCTACTGACCCATCTCTTTTTATCTTACACAAGGGTCAAGATGCAGTCCTACTTTTGCTCTACGTCGATGACATTGTGTTAACCGGAAGTTCAAATCAGCTGCTCACTGAGTTGATCAAATCTCTTAGCTCCAGCTTCCACATGAAAGACTTGGGCTGTTTACACTATTTCTTGGGTATAGAGGCCAAGTACACATCTGAAGAATTATTTCTTTGTCAAACGAAATATGCCATTGACCTCCTGGAACGAGCAAATATGAAGGAATGCAAGCCCATCTCCACACCCTTGTCACTAAAACCAGTTCACAACTCTGGTGATGATGTTTATCTTGACAACCCGTTGGAATACAGAAGCTTAGTGGGCAGTCTGCAATATCTAACGATAACCAGACCAGATATTGCATATGCTACGAACGTATTATGCCAGAAAATGCAGAATCCGACAGTGGGTGACTTAAATAAATTGAAGCGAGTATTGCGTTATATCAAGGGGACAGTTAACTTGGGACTTTTCATTCACTCACATAGCTCGTTGAATTTATATGGTTTTTCGGATTCCGACTGGGCTGGTTGTGCCGATACGAGACGCTCCACTACGGGGTTTTGCACTTACCTTGGTTCAAATATCATCTCTTGGTCAGCAAAGAAACAGACAACAGTGTCACGGTCATCGACCGAAGCAGAGTATAGAGCACTCGCCTCTGCTACTGCCGATCTTACATGGATTGCATTTGTCCTGAGAGACATCGGGATTCACTTAATCTCACCAACGGTATTGTTTTGTGATAATCAATCTGCGATTTCTCTTACATCTAATCCTATCTTACATGCCAGGACGAAGCACATTGAAATCGATTTCCACTTCGTCCGTGAGAAGGTTTCGTTAGGTTTACTCGGTGTGCAATATGTTCCACCATCATCAAATTGCGGACATTTTTACCAAGGCCTTGTCCAGATTTGATCATTGTTCTCTCGAAATCAAACTGGGTTTAGGTTTCAAAACCACACCCAGTTTGAGGGGGATGTTGAGAGTAAAGGTCCGAAAACAAGTGGGGCCGCAGCCCAAGAGCGAGACAGCCTGGAGCTGACACCATGGCCCATGGGGGGCACAACCATAATTTCGGAGGAGCGAAAACCCTAATCCTCCGTGAATATAAGAACGGAGCAAAACCCTCTCTTATGAACTTCTTCTTCCTCTGTTCTTTTTCTCTGTTTTCTGTCTTTGTGTGTCCGTGTATGTGGTGATGATGGAGGGCTTTCAGATGAATTTTTACAAAGTATAAAGAAAGGGCTACGGTGATGAAGAGTTCTATTGATCTGGTTCTTGTGTAGTTTCTTTTCTTCATTATTTTGCTCTTTCACAAGTCCAAGGTTCCTTTCTACCAAATTTTTATTTTGTCTCAAGGCCTTTTCAGAAAATGCCAATTTACAAGTAAATTAAATATCCTTACCTTTAAACTTTTAATATTTCATAGTTTGGTCCTTGGGCAAACTAGCTGTTGTGATAATTAATATGCTAACCGATCTTATTAATTTTAATTTTATCTCGAGACCTTTTCGGGAAAAGCCTATTTACGAGTAAATCAAACATCCTTACCTTTAAACTTTTGATTTTTCATATTTTGGTCCTTAATCAAAATAGCTATTGTGATATTTAATGTGCTGACCGTTCTTATTAATTTTGCTAGCCAATTTCTCATTAATTCTCCTAACCTTTGGCTGATATCTCCAGCTTTTTCGCTCAGGCCATTTCTCCAACAAATACCAATCTGTTCTTCATCGTTCTACACACAGCAACTCACATAAAAAAATACACTCTTTTCTTTACTCTTTCTGCTGGTTTTACATTTCTCGTTGTTCCTGCTTTGCCCGAATGGTGAAGCGCATATTAACCGGTAGATCTATTGGATCCTAGAGGATTACCACGCATCTGCTATCTGCACTTTTGGTGGAAATTATCCTTTAGGACAATATTTGCATGTCTCAGACGATCATCATTTCTCTTTCTCTATCAGTGGTTCTCGGAATTTGCACAACATATATCCACTTCATTTGCACACGATGAAGATAACCTTAGACATTTATTGATGCGACATAGGGAACTAACGGGGGACACATTGAGCAAATGAAGTGATCTCGTGCCATCTCTGACATTTGCTAAAATCTCCGGTAAATTACGTTGTGTTGTATCGTCTGGTTGATTCCATCAGATATTCTGCATATTCCGTGAACAATCAAGTATGCCACCAGAACAACTGTAATTAATTTGGCAAGGAGAACTCTTGGATCAATGGTGGATTTATTTCGGCAGCAACAGCTGGTTGATGCAGTCGATCTCGTCAGTGAAAGCGAATCATTCCAGGTCTCCCAACGGGATATGTTGTCTGATTCCATCTTCACATCGTCTTTCTTCTTCTGTGGCTGAATCATGGTAGTTTCCTTCTCCTTGAACTTTGCAGCCTGCGCCCACAGTACAAATTCAGAAAGGTTTTCTCGTTGTTCTGTTCCTCATGAACTCCAAGAGAAAAGTAAAATTATGGACAAGATCTTTGCCTCCATGCTTAATCTGTCTAAATAACATAGACTCGAAAGTGACAGTTAGAAGTTTAGAACAGTGTCCTACTTTGAAGCCTCTCAACTTCGACAGTGGACTTAGTGTAATTTGTATCGGTTTACCAACCTTTGCTTTTGCTGGTGCTCCAACGGAAGATGTGCACTCTGTTATGATCTTTTCGGTGTTCTGAGGATAGTTGAGTTTCTGTTCGACAAATCCTTCCTCTTCCTCTAACGGAACAGCTCCCTCGAGAATGTCACAGACCGGCCGCCGGTTCTTATTAGCCCAAAGATTGTCCCAGCTAGTTTCTCCAAGTTGGCCATACTGAAACCAAAGTAAGCAAAGAGAACTGATAAATGCACAGCTTATACTGTATGAAACTTTCTGCTAGGAGACTCTCACTATCTCTGGACTTCTTGAAGCACAAAGAGTTATGCATGAGTTCAGCAATCAAAATATATATGCGATGAAGACTACCTGAATTACTCCTCTGCCTGCTTCAGTTTCACTAATCGGATCCTTAAAATTATAAACGTCGCTGTTAGGAAACGAATCATGATCAACAGGGGACATCAAGCGCTCAATCCAATTCCATTCGTCAGAAACAGTACTGCAACTTCCGGAAGATATTTCTGTACTAGAGGAACTCCCGTTCATGATTAGGTCATTCGGTTGGTTCTGCATTTCTTGGACATGATGCTGTTATTCAAGAACACATGTAAATCCTAAATGTAATTCCTTATTTCTAGAGATGGAAAGAAAAAAAGTTTTTCGACTCTTGCAAAATCCTTTTTTTTTTGTCACCTCTGCAAAAGGAAGTTGTCCTGGGTTATCGCAATCCATGCTTTCAAGGCTCTTATCTGCTTGTTCATCAGACGGCACATAACCAGCAGTAGGAATTATCTGAACAAGAGATTCATAAATAGCTTATTCTGAAATGTGGGAATAGGTTATATTTCTTTTTCAAAATGAATGAGGAATCTGAAATAGCTATCAAACCACCTGGAGGAGTTTTAACAAACGTTGGATGTCTTGCCATACAAAACTTATGCTCGAGTTCATGACCCATTATCTGCTACAATGAACTCGTTTACACTAATACTAATGTGTTATTGGAAAGAAAATGTTTACCTGATCTATTTTTTCTTTTTCAGCTTCAATTGCACTGCATACATCAACATCAAGAAAAGGATGTGGGAAATTTAACTCATCATTAGTAGGGTCAGATACAGCAAGCCCCCTTCCTGATGAATTTTCTGTACCAGAGGAATTTTTACTCCACATGAGATGCTCCTGATTTGGTGAGGAGTGGTGATTGTCTTCCTGTATCAGGGCTAGGGATTTTGTTCCATTCTGATATGATCCATCACTCTTGCTGTAAACTTTATTAGATAACTCGCCAATAACCTCATTTCGCTCGCTAAAAGAAACTTTGGGACACTGAAACTGAGGAGTTGATGAAAAATCTCCATTCGTGGACATAGCTGCGTGGTTTGGTTGGTTCCTCATTACCTGGATAGACGGTTCTTGGTTATCTGCCTTCTCATCTTGCTTCATCTTTAGGCAATAAAGAACGAAACTCGTCTGCAGAGAATCCAAGTCATCCCAACTCAATCACAAAAACCAACAGATATTTTATGAATTAAGTAGAAAAAGTACGTTGTCCAAGATAATATACAAATTGGTACTTCAAGTCCACTGTTTCCAGATAAAACGATCATTCAAAGCCAAGGTCTTCAACCTGTAAATAGGTGCTCAGTAGCAAGGAAACCACTCCCCTAAGAGCGAGTGCCAGCACATTCAAATGATTCATAATTGCTTTAACAATTAATTCAAGGAATGGAGTAAAGGGCTTGGAAATAAATAGCAAACAGTAGAAATACGCACATCATCAGGATGTGGATGAAACTCATGCATAACCCAGGTGGATCTAGTGCCCTTGAAATTCCGGCCATCAAGGAAAACTAATGTTATCTTGGAACCGATCTTTTTGTCGTCATTTTTAGCCTTAATATCTTTATGTTTACCGGTAATCTTCCAAGAAGAACCACATGGTGTTTTCCTGCTAATTCGTTGGTTCTGCATCTGTGGACATATGAACCACCATTCTTGATCTCTGGATCGAATGATCGATCTCTCTGCATGCACATTAAAAAAAGCTCTCTGAGTTATGAGTAAGGGCTCTACTGTTCTTTTTCTGAGGCACTGCTTTTGAAGTTGCTGAAAACTTACCGATGAACTTGGCTGGTAAATCCCATGGATTAATCTCGTAAATGTTTTCTAGTGTCGGAATAATACAGAGAGTTTCTCTGCATCCGGTTACTTTCCACTTCAAGTAATTGAGTAGCTCCTCCTCAGTTGGATGGAATCTGTAGCCGACTATTGCCTGCTGAAGTAAGAGCGCGATCTCCGTGACTAACTTTCCCGCGGGTAGTGGATTCGCCGGAGAGATCCTAGTTTCCATATCTTGTTTTCTTCTCTCACACAAGTGAAGTTCAAGCTAGCTGAGAGTGAGAACTTAGGGAAGTGAGCTTGTGCACACTTTGAATGCTTGCTGGTCTTATATTGAAGTCTTCTCCTTCCTCAAGAAGTCACCCACTGACCATGAGAACGACATCCATCGGTGGATTACTAAAATCAACTGATCAGATCCGTGATTGAGAATAGTTTCTTTTCCCCAGTTCATTTAGTGCACTCGTTATCAAAAAGTAAATAGGGTTTCCAAAGCATGTGTCCTTTATTATTATTCTTCTGAAGTGGTAGGGCTTAGCATCATCATTTTGGCCGCTTGCTTTTCCAGAAGGATGATCCTCTGTGCTTGATTTACGAAACCTCACAAATTGGGAATTAGTTTCTTTACTTTCTTAAGACAAAAAGAGATTACTTTACTCAAGCAGATATATCGAATATGAAGATTAATTCGTGAAATTGATAAAAGACGATACCATCATTCGATATTTAATATATTCTAGCTTATGTTGAAATTGGGAGTGATCGGTTTCTGAATGGATTGTGGATCCCAATAATCACTCACAATTATTTTTATTTTTATCCTTTAAATAGTTTATTAATTTATTAAAAAAAGACTCGGAAGAAAGTTATGTTACACACTACTTTCTTTCATAGTCTTTGTGGGACCCACGGGAGCAGCCAAGCAAAACTGGTAAATTGTTACAAGCAAGACTAATGTCGTAATCATTCTTCCTATTTTTAGCTCACTTAATTAATGACATTAAGGGTGTGTTTATTTCACGAAAAATAAATAATTTGAAAAATATTTTTTCTAAAAAAATATTCGTTTGAATCACTTACGAAAATAAATGAATGAAAATTATTTTTAATATCCACGGAATTATTTATATATATGTTGTTGTCGATAATAAAACTATTTTTATTGACAGTTTTTTCAAGCGATTCAAGAAATTATTTTTGGAAAACGTTTTTCAAATTATTCGTTTTTCATGAAATAAATGGAGTCTAAGTCTTTAAAGCACTTGCTAACAATATGTGTATGCCCATATCGACAAATAAGCATTTGTGTGAGTTATGTCTCACATAACACTTTTGCAAGGCAAGATTGTTTTTTTTTTTTTGGGTCGAACAATGCAAGTTTTTCAATGGTTGGATTACTGGGGAAAGTTGGCTGGAGTACAGCTGTGTAATCTTTTTTAACAAAACTCATGTACACATCTTTCACGATTGATTTGGATAATTGGTCAATCTTTCAAATTATATCCACATTAACACTCATGGGACTAGGTTGTGTAACAAGTGGATTATGTGAGACTTGTATTCTATAAAAATCGTGGTTGGATTAGTCATAAAAAAAAACTATATGATATGAAGAACATGATTTACAAGTTATAATTCATTGTGAAATCTTTAATTATTGTGGTCCACGGTTGTTTACAAGAGTCAACAAAGAAATTTTGAATCAATTTGGTTGATTGTTTAAGGAGATTGAAAAGGAGGTGAATTGTTATTTCATGAAAGTAGGAACAAAACAGAAAAGCATTGGCAAAGTAAGAATATTGCTAAGTGCTAACAAAAAGATGAATCGACCATTAAATGGCTTGGATGAGGAACAATTATTCCATTTCTTGGGGTACTGTCAATTGAGATGTTGGCTTGGAAAGGAACAAATATTCTATAAATGAAAAATGGCTTGGAAAGGAACAGTTATCCCCCGCATAATCAAAATCGTCAATTGAGATGTTGCGAAGTGGCAATGTTAGGCAAAGTCGTGTCAATGTTACACTTCACCATAAGAAGAATGATTACGTTCTTGTCAATTGCATTTACTAACATTAGATTATTTGAATGTCCATCAAACATGCACAATTGATCGTTGGCATTACATCTTAGGTTTTTTTCTTTTTGTAATTCTTTTAAGCAAATGGGGCAGTGAGATGGAATCTTACCCTAATTTATGATATTGATTCAATCAAAACACTCTTTTCCCGCCTCTCCTATGAGATTTCGGACTTAGAGACATGCACTTTGAAAGACTGGCAATAGGCTAGATGTTGCATTTACACACTTTTCTTTTATCTTTTCTTTCTCATCCTCCTTCCAACGATGGTTATTTCGTTTAATGATATACTAGATTCCACGTTGAATGGGTGAGATCTTATAATTTATTCATAAGTAAGATCCACCACTATGTAATTAGTCTAAGTACTCTTTTTGGGGGCTTGATTCACGTCAAATGATTAGGTCATTACAAATGATATCAGAGTAGAACTGCCCATATATTAGGAAAGGACCAGGCCCATACCCAATTCAATGAGAGAAAAGAGTAATCTTCTAGGCGAGAAGGTTTAAACAAGGTACAGAGAGAAGAAAATATCACGAAGAACCCTCTCAAAAAATCTTCACTGTTCAGCCTTGAAAGGGAGCTACTGTTGCGGACACAAAGAAGAAAATGATATATATATTTTTGTGTGTGGGTCCCTTTGACAGTCAAATTGTTGACTACGAAGCCTTTGTTTCTTTCCTCGTGGACAAAGAAATAAATACATATAATAAATGAGCCCATTAATTTTGTCCTGTAGTGATAGAAAAACTTCATTCTCTCCTGTGCAGTGTAAGCCCATTACGTTTTCTTCTCTCTCACGCCACAATTTAATCTCGCAAATTGATCCACTTCGGCCGGGTTTCGTAAATGGCTCAAACTAGAGAAATAATATAACATTATTCATCTTGACTCGACGTTTTAAGTCAAGGCATTCATATTGCTCTCCCAACGCCCCGACGATCGCTTACTCTCTACAAATGTCAATGAAGCTCAAGCTCGCCAAAGGAATAAACTTAGCCATCATGTTTGTCGAGTTCTTCGTTGTCACTATCTTCTTTACAAATCTATTCTTTGTCATTTTACACACCGTAATGAACATAGAAAACACTATATATGGTCTTACTCTCTTTGCTAGTTTTACATTACTCATTGTTCCTGCTTTGCTCGAATAGTGAAGTGCATAGTAATTGGAATGATTATTGAATCCTGGAGGGGAAAATGACTCAAACAGTCCCTGAACTTTAAATAAATGTGTAATTTAGTCCCTGAACTTTTAATTTGTTCAATGTGGTCCCTAACTATAGGTAATATTCAATTTAGTCCCTGAACTTTTAATTTGTCATTGAACCCGAACTTTTAGCATATAGTTCGAATTTACCAACTATTGAACATGTACTAATGTAGTTCCGAATGACCACATTGAATATTAAACTAAAGTTCATGGACTACATTGAACAAATTAAAAGTTCAGAGATCAAATTGCACATTGGGCCAAAGTTTGGGGACTGTTTATGTTATTATCTCAATCCTAGAAGATAACCATGCATCTACCTTCTGCACTATTAGTGGAAATTATCCTTCGGGATCATGCGTGCATGCTTCAGATTTTCTTTATTTCTGATTTTCTATGGCTGGTTCTTGGAATTTGCACAACACATATCAATTTCGCTCGCACGCGATGAAGATAACCTTAGACGTTATTTATCTGACAAACGGAACGTAGAGGGGACATATCGAGCAAATGAAGTGATCTTGTGCCATCTCTGACGTTTGCCAAACTCTCCGGTAAATTATCCAGTGAAACACATAGTCCTGCATCGTCTCTTTGATTCTAACACATATTCTGTGTATTTCGTCAACAATCACACATACCAGAAAAACAAGTACAGAAAACACAGCAAGGTCAATCTTGGATTAATGGTGGATTTATTCCGGAGGCAATGGTTGGTTGATGCAGTCGATCTGGTCGATGAAAGCGAACCATCCCAGGTTTCCCAATAGGATATATTGTCCGATTCAATCTTCACATCGTCTTTCTTCTTCCATGGCTGAATCATCGGAGTTTCCTTCTCTTCAAACTCTTCTCTTTAAACCGTGATTGCGTGTGCTGCTATAGTGTGCAATGATTTTGTGACGCAGATAGAAGCGATAACTTGAAAAACTCTTCCACGATTCGACTGGAATTCAATTCAATTTCATAATATCCTAAATACAAAGCTGGACGTCCTTTAATAATGATAGGACTCCTAAAGATATCCGAATTAATGAAGATAACATCAAAGCAAATCAAATCTAATCTTATCTAATAAAATCAAACGAAATATTGATAATTCGAAATTGCCTAAAGTAAAAAACTGCCTAAAATTCTATCCAGACGACTTCGAAATGCTAAAATCCATCATATGTCACGGCATAGCGGTGAGTCCGAATGATACGGCCATTTCGCTTCAACCGACCAATTTTGAGCGCAATCCGAGGTCGTTTTCCCCAAAAATCAGAAAAATTGCCAAGATTTCCGGCGATTACGGCGATCACATTCTTCAAGATAATGACAGGCTAACTGTTCTACATCATTTTGCTATAGTCTGATACATAATCTGCTTTCAGTGGTGACCGGCGGTAGGATTCCGGTATGCTGATGCAGATTTATTGATAGCCTTGATTCCCCGGTGTGCTGCTTTTGGTGATATGATTTTTTTTCTGTTTTCTGGTCTTTTATTCTTCATCTTCTGAAGGATAATTTCATAGCGATCGTCCCGATGGGTATCACCGCTATGATGTGATTGGCTGGAGTTGCTTTTCGAACCTTTAGTTCTGCTAGCAGTTGTTCCATGATTGTGATATATTCATATTGTGATCTCACAGCTGCAAGTTGGGCACTGGCCAAAGACTTTTGCTGGAGAAATGAAGCATTTTGCTTCTGATTTTGCAATTTGGAGAGGCTTAATTTGGTTTTGATGTTGGTTAAGCCAAGCCATGACTGTTTGTTCGGATGCATTTTTGGTGAAATTGAAATTATCCAATAGTTTGGTTTGGAATATTCAAATGAGGTTTGGAATGTTATGGTGCTATGGGGGAATAGAGTAATCTAACTCCCATGCTAATACCCATGAAATTTGGAAATTGATGAAAAAATGAACAAGATTCAGATAACGCGATTCTTGTTCTGATGGTATAAATTTTGAGTTGAATAGCTAGTGATCCTTTTGATTCCTAGCAATAGAAATTCTATTATGGGACCAAAATGATCCCACCACTGATTGAACCAATTGGGTAGGTGGTTGATTTTGTTGATTGGTTTAAAACAGAAGAGCCAAGAATGGTAATAATTGTTATTTTCTCGGTAGAAAGTGGACCACCATGCTTGTTGGTAATCCCAGTATATAAATGTGGGGAGATATGCAAAGTCTGGTGGGTGTTCTAGCTGGTAAATTTTTTGCGGTATGAGGAGATGGACCCAATTTGGATGGTAGAAAGTTTGGAGAATGATTGCCGAGTGATATGGGTTGGATCATTCTCGGAAGAAAAATGTTTATATGGTGCTGATTTACTTTCAATCAGAATTTGCTCATAAAGCAAGAGGTTCTTGTAAGTCATGCAATATTGAAAACAATTTTTATGGAAGATATTTTGTGAGAAAATGATTGGGTTTTCATATAAAAATCCATATTCAACCGTCAAGATGTTTTAGAATTTTTTCTAAAAAAATCTTGATCTTGATTTTGGAGGGGTTTCCTGTGGCCCAATTACCATGTCACTATAAATTCTTTTTAATTGGTTGCCAGAGGTGGCAAGTGGTGTTGGGTTTGAGCTTAGCTCAATTCCTTGGGATGATGGCTTTGGCTGTGATTTTTGTGAGTTGTGATGAAGAAGCATAGTTGTTTCTTCAGGTAATTGGGGAGCTAATTGGGATGATTCTTGGGGGATGATGGGTTGTAATGGTTCTTCCATAAGACTTTGTGTCCATGTTTTGACTGGTGTTATGGAAGATATTTGGATTTGTGATTTAGTTGGTGATTTTTCGGATGATGTGGTGATTCCTTTTCCTTTGTGATTTTTGAGGGTCTGGGATGCATGATGATTGTATCCCTGCAACAAATCTCGTATAAGAAAATATAGTAATGAATTCGACGACTCATTTATAAATTCGATGTCAAAATCAAATACCGATAGAATAGCTTACCAACAAAGATTTGTTTTGATGCAATATTTAAAATATCCTTTTGTAAAACCTCTTTTTATTGATTTGCAATCAATGTGTAAAAGGATTTTTTGATTTAATAAATCTCCTTGGAATTTAGAGATTGTCAAAACAATTGCCAAAATTTCCTTTTAAATGATGGAGTAGCTTTGTGGGGTTTTATTCCTATGTTTATAAACAAATTGAACAATTTGTTCTTTGTGATTTTTAACTTGTTTGAGAATGGCTCCGTATCTTATTTCTGAATCATCTTTTTCTACAATTTTGAAAGTAGATGGGTCAACTAAATGAAATCGAGGAATTTCCTTGACATGAATTTTTGTTTGTTTAATAATATTTATATGAACCGATGACCAAGGTGGAGGGCTCTTTCGTAACCTTTGATATAAAGGCTTGCAGAGTACATTGATTTTTGGAAAAAAATAATCTAAAACATAATTGAGGCTTCCAATAAATCTTTTTAATTGTGTTTTGTCTTTGATTTCATTTATAAATTATTCTGCAAAGAAAATTGATCTTTTAATAGGAACAGTAGTTCGTCGGTGAATGTATTGACCAAGAAATCTAATTTTTGTCTAGAAAAGTGATTTGTTTTATTTTTATGAAAATAGGTATATGTTTGAAATCTAATTCAAAGGTTTTCTCTTTGTTCTGCTCTTCATAAACTCCGGGGGAATAAATATAATTGTGGACAAAAGCTTCACCTCCATGCTTAATCCGTCTAAATAACATAGACTCCAAAGTTGACAATCATAACAGAGTCCTACTTTTGGAGCTTCTCCAACTTCGGCAGTGGATTTAGTGTAATTTTTCAAAATTAGTTTGAGTTGTATCCGTTTACTAACCTTTGCTTTTGCTGGCACTCCATCTGAAGATGCAGACTCTGGTATGATCTTTTCGGTGCTGGGAGAATGGCCGAGTTTAGGTTGGCCATACTGCAACAAAAATTTGCAAAGGGAACTGATAAATGCACAGATAATTTATGAATCCCGATATACCGGATGAAACTTTCCTGCTATAACACTTTCACTATCTCTCTACTTCTTGAAGAATGCTCGAGTTCAAGAATCAAAATGCACATGTGATGAATACTTACCTGACTTACTCCTATTTCTGTTTCGGATTCACTGATCAGGCCATATATATCAAAAAACTCGCCGTTAGGAAATAAATCACAAGAATGAGGGGACATCCAGGGCTCGATCCTGCTACATTCTTTAGTAACAGTGGTGCAGCTTCTGGATGATATTTCTGTACTAGAGGAACTCCCGTTCATGATTAGCTCATATAATTGGTTCTGCATTTCCTGGACCTGATGCTGTTATTCAAGAACATGTACATCCCAAATGTAATTCCACATTTCTAGAGATTGAAAGAAAAAAAGTTTTCAACTCTTGCAAAATCCTTTTTTTTCCCTCACCTCTGCAAAAGGAAGTTGTTCTGGGTTCTGACAACCCATTCTATCACAGTAGTTATCTGCTTGTTCACCAATAAAATTTGAAGTTCTAGACATCTCATCTTCCTTCTCTAAGGGTTGAACTAAATCAGCCTTCCGCTGTGGAGAAAAAAGACATACCTACTCGTTAACAAAAGCCAGTACATAGCCAGCAGTACAGGGACTCGGCTTAAAAGAAAGATTCATGCATAGCTTTTTCCGAAATATGGTAAAAGTGTGATTTCTCTACTTCAAAAAGTATGATGCATCTGAAATCGCTATCAAACTACCTATAGGAATATCTGACAAACTTTGGATGTCTTGCCATACAAAACTTGTGCTCGAGTTTATGACAAATTATGTGCTCCAATAAACTTGTTTACACTAATGCTAATGTGTTATTGGCAAAAATATTTACCTGATTTGTATATTCTTCTTCAGCTTCAATTGCAGTGCAGACATCAACGTTAAGAGAAGGATGTGGGAAATTTAACTCGTGATTACTAGGTTCAGATACAGCAAGGAAACTTCCTGATGAATTTTCTGTACTGGAGGAATTTTTAGTGGACATGAGATGCTCCTGATTAGGTGACAAGTGGTGATTGTCTTCGTGTATCGGGGCTAGAAATTTTGTTCCATTCTGATATGATCCGTCGCTCTTGCTATAAATTATTTTAGATAACTCGGCAATAACAACTTCAGGACACTGAAATTGTGGAATTGATGGAATGTCTCCGTTCTTTGCCATAGCTGCATCGTTTGGTTGGTTCCCCCTTGCCTGGACAGATCGTTCTTGGTTTTCTGCGTTCTCATCGTGCTTCATCTTTAGCCAACAGAGAACGAAACCCGTCTGTGGAGAATCCAAGTCATCCCAACTCAATCACAACAATTAACACATAACAAGCAGCAAAGGGGTCTTGCAATGCCAGGATGCCACACTCGACAAATTGGGGAGTAAATAGATAGAGAGATTGGTAGCTTGCTCTGATTTGGGGAAGAAAGTACTTAATTCTTTTCTTCCAAACAGATGATGTTTTAGAAATTAATTCGAAAAAGTATGTTGTCAAAGATATTTTACAAATCGGTACTTCAAGGCCATTGTTCCCAGAGAAAAAGATCATTTAAAACAGAGGTTTTTAACCTGTAAACATTTATTTAACAAATGCTCGGTAGCAAGGAAACTACTCACCTAAAAGCAAATGCCAGCACATCCAAAAGATTCCTAATTGCCTAGACCATTTTTTCAATAAGTAAATTGCTTGGAAATAAATAGCATACAGTTGAAATACGCACATTGTCTGGATGTGGATGCAACTCATGCATGACCCAGCTGGATTTAGCGCCCTTGGAATTCCGGCCATCAGGGAAGACTAATGTTATCTTGGAACCGATCTTTCCGCCGTTGTTTCTAGCCTTAATACATTTATGTTTACCGGTGATCTTCCAAGAAGAACCACATGGTGTTTTCCTGCTAATCCGTTGGTTCTGCGTCTGTGGACATATGAACCACCATTCTTGATCTTTGGATGGAATGATTGATTTCTCTGCATACACATCAAAAAAAAAAAAAACTCTTTGGTTCATGAGTAAGGGGCCTACTGCTCTTTTTCTGGGGCACTTTTTTTGAAGTCGCGAAAAAACTTACCATTGAACTTGGCTGGTAAATCCCGTGGATTAATCTCGTAGATGTTTTCTAGTGTCGGAATAATACAGAAAGTTTCTCTGCATCCGGTTACTTTCCACTTCAAGTAATCGATTAGCTCCTCCTCGGTTGGATGGAATCTGTAGCCGACTATTGCCTGCTGAAGTAATAGCGCGATCTCCGTGACTACATTTTCCGTCGGTTGTAAATTCATTGGATAGATCCTAGTTTCTTTTTTTTTTTGGGGGGGGGGGTGGTGTTGGAGGAGGGGCGTGGGAGTTGCGTTGGGGAGGGAGGCGATAAACAGAACGGTCGCTTTAATTGTAGTCTGGACTTGAACTCTACTTTGAGGAAACACCATACCCACTATGCAAGTTAGCTATGACCAATAAATCTCTTAGTGATGACAAAATTACATGTCCTGTTGTAATATTCTTCTCAAGTGGTAGGGTCTACCATCATCATTTTGTCCTTTTGCTTTTCCAGAAGGTTAATACTCTGTGCTTGATCTTATGAAACCTCACAACTCGGCTATTAGTTTCTTTTTCACTCGAGCAGGTGTACCGAAGATGGAGATTGGTTTGTGAAATTGATAGAAGATATTACTGTAGTTCAGTAATTAATGTATTCGAGCCTGTTTTGAGCTGATCAATGAACTCAATCATACTACTCTGGAATAGAAAAGGCAGAACAGTGACTGCATATACTGTGAATCATCCTACCGTTTAGTAAATAAAAACTGATTCCCGTTAAACTCCCCAGTAAAAAACTCGACTTGATAATCCAATTTAATAGACAACCAGAGGAAAGAACTAATAATGGCAGAACTAAGTGTTTAAGAATACCTCATTTAGTTTTGATGAAACACTATTCACAAAAGGCAGGAGTCATTTCTAGTCTATTGTATGGCATCCTACCAATGTGCACTTGGTGACATGAACTGCCATTAGTCAGTAAATATATGCACAAAACATTGTAGCATGAACATGTAAAAACTGAGAACAAAATTACCTTATTTGGTATCTTTTGTATCAGAGGATGATTTTTAATATTTTAGTTTGATCTGCACCAAGAACAATAAGAATCTGTGACTTTTGCTTGTAACTACACTTCTCTTCCCTGGTCTGTTCATGCATAGACCAATGATCCAGAACAAAGGTGTGGAGTAATGATTCAAGAGTATGGTTCATGAGTGCGTGTGCGTGATAAGTAACTTTTAAATCACTTCACAACTAACTAATTTGCGGAGAAACTAGCTATGATAAAATAGCTTGATTTTATGCTTCTACCTATAGAAATTACAAACGCTGTTTGTCAAACTAGACAAAAACATTAGGACAATAGTGGTTGCATACATCAGGAGCCTGACATAATGAATGATCTTTTTATAACACCCACTAGATGATGCTCAGATCATTAATCAGATCTATAATTTGTCCTTATAACATCCTAAGAATCTTCATTGTAAACTCTTAGCCAGTAGTGAGGTACAGTGACTTAAATAACTCTTCTAGTGTTATAACAATCTGCATGCCAAGTTTACAAAATTGGTCAGTAGGTTGGGGTAAAATGTTTTATCCGTCAAACACCTTCTGATGTGGGAAACAGATTTTTTTTTATGATGAACTGGATGATGGACTCGCACATTAATGGATGGGAGACTCATGAAGCAATCGTTATCGGTTTGAAAGTACACCATATCAATGATAAGCTAATTCTGTTCTACATTATACAAATGATGTAGATAAAATAAGCAGACAAGAAATGAAAATTTTAATAAGCCGCAATGGAATTACATAAATGGACTTCTTAACCGCTTGGTATGTTTCCCAACAACACATGCGATAATCTCTCGGTCAAGGCATCATGCCTTGTGACAGACAAGTGAAGCTCACTTGGGTCACCTTTGGTGAAGCAGCTGTATCTTTTTAGTACTATCCTAAAATGTGATCATTAGCAATTTTCTCATCTACTGAGACCGAAACAAATTTTCTGCTAACAGAGAGAGACAAAGAGACATAGTAGTTGTTACACTAAGACCAATAGCGGAAGTACAAGATAAATACTCGATGAAGCTAAAAAGTATACAATCATACTTTTATTGGTATAGATAAACAGTGACTCATATCAAATGTCATCTCGATGAAGCTAAATTCTAGTGAAAATTGATTCCACAAGTCTGAACGTCTATGTGTATGCCAAACTACTTTCTGTGACGGAACAATTCAACTCTAGTGAAGTGGAAGCAGAGGCTTTTGGATGGGTTTCTGAGCTCTTTGAGAAAAATTGGAGGACTGGTTCTACAGGATATAATAATTTTCTAGTGAGAAAAAGAACAGTGATATTCTTGCATTACATTCAAGCTTTCTGGCATAACCGAAGCATGTAGGTGATATCCGTGTGCACGGAAATGCATTAACAGTTTTAATCAGGGACCTATAACTTTTAGGACATCAGCATTCCTTCTGAAATTGCCCACTTAAATGAATGTGAACTTACTAAATTTCTAAATGCAATACTCTTTTTTCTCCTTCTTGTCTTCTATGTGGCAAAAACCAGTTTTTGTTCTTGCCCTATTCCTAATCATCTAGGGAAAGAGAGAAGGAGAAAAAGAAAGAACGAAGAGACACAAGAAGTGCCGATATGTTTTTTTTTTAAATTTTTTTGTAACCGAGGTGTTCGGGCCAGCTTGCGCGCACCTCGACTATTCCTCGGAGGAGACTAACACAGCAACTCACCGCCATGACCCCCCACTTAAATCACAAGTGCTCAGCTGGGGAATCGAACCTGGGACCAGTGCGCCTAACCACACAATCCCAAATACGCCCTAACCAACTGAGCTACTCATGGGTGGGTAAAGTGCCGATATGTTTTCATCCCTGTACAACACATTTTTTTCATTTTAGTCACTCACCAAACTGTTTTGCTACATGGTCCCTCTACTTAATACATGTTCTTATTTTGGAACCTAATAAGGCAGCGAAACAGTAGTTAAAAGAGACAAATCTAGGAGCAAAAAGTTAGTGCTGGACTAAAATGGAAGAAGTGTCTAGTACGTCGATGAAAATGAATCTTTGTACAGGGACGAAAATTTTACTTGTAACTTCACCTATGTCCTAAACCATCAAAAAGGTGTACTTAAAGGTTGAGACTACATTTTGCTTAAGTGACAATTATCAACCATAAGAGATGCAGAAAAAATTGAAGAGAAGTCACATTGCTCTAAAATCTGTTAAAGTTATCGCTCAAACATCATCAATCACTTTGATTAACAGTCGAAAGAGCAGCAAAATGGCATTATTAGAGGACTGCCACAAGAATTGAAAATCCCAAGAAGAAGCTTGTGGACAATAACTAGGACGCCAAACAATAAGAGAGGGAGAGAGAGAGTGGCTTTGGTCAGAGATGTCCGTTAAACTTGAGCATGGAAATCCTAAGTTTACAGTAGACACTTGATTAATGCCAAGCAACTTTCCGTGGTGACGTCTCCCCCTTGCTTGAGAAGTTAATCCATAGTGCTTGATGGATCCCACGTCTGTCCTTGTTGATACCTTCACTTTTGTCCTCTTTGCAGAATTCTTCAAAACTTTGTTCGCCTTCTTGAGGAAGTTTTATGGCCTTCGCTGTCAACTTTTAGTCATGTGAATGTCCTCCACTCTTTCCTCTTTTTCTCCATCTCTCTCCATAGGTTGGTGGACAGACTTTTCTTGTGGGGTCATTTTGCCAAAAGAAAGGATTAAAAGTTGGCACTGTTATGGGATTCTTTTTCTTTTTTATCCTGCTAATTACTCCAACATTGCCCTCTTTTTGGCCAAATCCCACCTAACCCTTCTTTATTTCCAAAACCCTACACTTAACACCACTTTGATTGGAGGGGACGCACCATAAGTACATTTTCTTGAAGCTCAAGCAAACAGAACTAGATCACCCCTCAAAACACCGTTCTATGAGACTTTACATATCAATGATATATAGAAATCCTAAAATTCTCTCTTCCACATTAATTCTCATCTTTTCTTCCATTCTGTTCTTCGCTCAAAGCACAAGTAAAAGTAAAGGTTAATATCACGAAAAATCCTAAACTGAATTTACTCAAAATTAATTTTTTGATCATAAAATATCATAATCTGGTACACTTGTGATAAATTTACCTTCCGTTAGTTTCTGTTAAATTTGAAGATTAAATTAGATGATATGCGGCAGTTGATAGGTGTACTAATTTGGGGTTTTACTCTCTGTTTGTCACAGGTGTACCGATGTGTGGTTTTTCGTGGTATTAATTCAATTTAACGGAAACTAACGGAACGTAAATTTATCATAGGTGTATCAGTTTGTGATTTTTCGTGGTCAAAAAATTAGTTTGGAGTAAATTTATTATAAATATACTAATTTAAGATGTTTAATAGTTAAAAAATTAATTTAAAATAAATTTATTATAAATATATTAATTTAAATTTTTTCGTGATATTACTCCTAAAAAGTATTGGACTCATTTAATTGTGGAAGCCATCAACACGCTACCATTTGGGAGGGTCTTTATTCAAGTCTTCCCTTCTTTGAGAAGTTACCCGACTTTTTGCATGCGGATGTCAGAAAACTCTTAATCGTGATTGATAGCTGATAGGGATGGTTTTTTGTATGCTTTTCCTTGTCCTTGGGAATCTCATCACATCAATCAAACAAATTTAAGATTGTGCTCATTGTGAAATGGACACTTTTGATTATAAAAATCAGTTTGGCTTTCTCACATGCAGAGGCAATATCCAGGAAATTTCTGTGATGTGTCCGGGTTGTTACCTCTTATTACAATAGGAGACTTTTCTTTTCATTTTATTAATGGCACAGTTTGAGTTTGAGTTAAAATCAACCTGCTAATAGTCAGTTAACATAAGGGCTGTCCATGCATGTGTATATTTTCGTATAAGGCTCCATTTATTTAGCAGAAAATAAATAATTTGAAAAAAAATTTCATAAAAATGATGATTTAAATCACTTAAAAAAATGAACGAATAAAAAATATTTTCGTCGTTCACGATAATATTTAGATATAAATAGTTCATTGCCAAATTATTTCAAACGATACAAACAATCTTTTTCAGCAAAGAAATTTCCAAATGATTCATTTATCGTTCATTGGCAAATTATTTCAAACAATACAAACAATCTTTTTCAGCAAAGGAATTTCTAAATGATTCATTTTCTGTGAAATAAACGGAGCCTAAATAACGAAGTTTCACCCTGCACGGTCTCTTTATGGATTTTTGTTAGAGCTTTGTCTAGTTTTAAAAAGAACTTCTACAACTGAGATGCATGATCATCAGCTTCAACTCCTTTTGAATTTAGGTAAGACTAAACTATGATTTGTATTTTGATGCGACGGGTAATAGAGGATTGATAACTGGCAATATTTGCCTAATCTTTGTGCTGGGAGGCTAGATTAGCCGATCACTCCTGAACTCATTGACCTTCGACAGCAAGGGAGAATGAATGTTTTCTCCTGTTTTTTTTGTGCATGTCATTACAGTTTCTCTGTTGGAATATGCTAATAGATGAAAGTTCAAATTACAAAAAGCGCTAAACTGCAGGACTTTTCTAAGATGACTTGCGACTCCACCTACATCCTGCTGACCTAATAGAGCAAGTGAGATGTGAGCATAAGCCCTCGTGCATGACACAAATATGAGATTGAACGCAATTGGTTGTTGTGGAGAATCAAATCTTGGTCGTGTGAACTATTCCACACATAAGTCTGATCCTTGAGGCTGCATTTATTAGCCAGTATAAAAGTTAGGATATAATAATTTTTATCCTATCTTGTGTTTGATTGTTATCCAAAACAGGATAATACCGGATATAAGAGGGATATTAACCAAATAAAATAATCTCATGGAAGGGGTGGCATAAAGGTGAATTAGATATGTCCATCACTCATCTCTTCTTTGTCCCTTCTACCCATTTATGGCCACCGCTCACAACCTCCCACCAAGCTACGTCTCATAGCCACCGAAGAGGCTCGTCATGGTGACAAGCTCCACTCGATGTCGACCACGGAGGAGCTCCGTGGCCAAATCTGGAGCTCCTCCAAGTTTGAGCTCGTCTCGACCTCGGCCATGGAGGAGCTCAACTCAACCTCGGCCGCAGAGGAGCTTCATAGATCTGGAGCACCAGCCATCATCCCCATCCATGACTAAATTATGGAACGACAGTCATTGTCCCCTTGTGTCTCACGCACCTTCGTCACATGAGCAATTGTGCCTTAATCCACTGCAACTTCGTCGGCTAGGCCTCGATCTCAGCATTGGCCGCGAGGGTAAGGGTGGCAACCGGACAGGTGTTCACTGAAGATTGCAGGCAGGCAATGAAGATCGAGGAGGGATTGGTGATTCCTAAAGATTGCAGGCCGGCAATGAAGATGGAGTAGGGATTGGTGATTGCTGAAGATTGTGCATGATGATGATGCCTAGGCAGCTTGGACGTTCGTAAGGGCTCATAAGGGCTCTGAGATCTGAACGTCCACATTCAATCTGGCATGGGACAGAGAGGAGGAGGAGGTGGAGGATGGCGAGGAGAGTCAGTTGGGATATGCTAGCGGCAAGATCCATTTGACATTCAATCCGTTTGAAAGATCGGCATTCAATGCAGCTTAGATATCAATATATTTACCAAAAATTGTATAAGATATAGAAAATCTCATTTTTATCAAATTTGAACTATATCCTATCCAATATAAAAGTCTAGACGACCAAACGAGCGCAAAGTATTAAACCACCGGCATGGGGTTAAACGACAGAGTTGCTGCCGCTTCCTTTTTTGGATAAAACCTATGTACTCATGAATAACTAGGCGCGCGCAGAGCCTAATAATGCCAACATGCGTTTCTAGATCAGGTTCATAGTCGAAAAATCACCAAATTCGATGCATTGCCCTCCAGTGTGAAATCAGCTTTTATTCCTTCTCTATGTTGATAAATCTTTTTAAAACATGTGGGCAATTGCGGTAGAGAAAATATTTCAAAAAATTTGCTTCACTTACTTTTACTGGTACTACATTGCTTGTGAAGCTTTCTTTTGTTCGCTTTATTAATGTGTTTATTTTACTAGCTGGTAACAGTAAAAAAAGGCGTTGGGCTTGCGCATGAGCTTGGGTTGAACAAAGTGTAAAGTTGGATTTTGGCCCCCCGTGCCCGAAACATTAGTGCGTTCCAGTCCAGGATTCCTTTTTACCCTTTTGTACTGTTGTTTCGAGACCTTAACCGGAAAAGCGTATTATGAGTAAATCAAATATCTATACTTCTGAACCTTTAATTTTCATATTTTGGTCCTAAGTTGAACAAGCTGGGTGATACTTAATCCGCCGACCCTTCTTTTCAATTTTTCTAGCCATTGTACTCTCTCTGCTCGTTTTACATTTTTTGGTTATTTAGGCTTTCCCCCCGAATAATAAAGTGCACATTAATCGAGTTTGTTGAATCCTGGATGATAGTCGCGCGTCTACCTTCTGCACTTTCCAAAGGGCGGAAATTATCTTTTAAGATAGTGCTTGCATGCCTCAAACTATCTTCATTTCTAATTTTATATCGGTTATATCTACTTCATTCACCGGTGATGAAGATAATATTAGACATTGCTAATGAAACATACGGAACTGTGGGGCTACACAATGAGCAAATGAAGTGATCTCATGCCATCTATGACATGTTGTGTGTATTCCATCGAGATTCACATATGCCAGAAGAAAACAAGTGTAAATTACATGGCCAGGTTGGATCAATGGTAAAATATTTTGGTGGCAACGGCTGGCTGATGCAGTCGATCTCGTCAATCAAAGCGAATCATTCCAGCTTTCCCAACGGGATACGTTGCCTGATTCAATCTTCACATTGTCCCTCTTCTTCTGTGGCTTTGTCATGGGAGTTTCCTTTTCTTTGAACTCTGTTGCCTGTGCCAATAACAAATATTCTTTTGGTAGACTAAATGGAGATTTACCGAAAAAAAGGGAAGAGATCTTACTAGTCTAAACAGGAACAAAATATGATACAATTTCAGAAAGATCCTCTGTGTTCTGTTTCTTATGAGGACAAGATCTTCGCTTCCATGCTTAATTTGTCTAAACAACATATCTCCAAAGTGACAATTAGAACAGTGTCCTACCTCTTGCAAAATCCTTTTTTTTTTCTCACTTCTGCAAAAGAAGTTGTTCAGATCCCAGGCCTTATCTGCTTGTTCACCAGTAAAATTTGAAGTTCCAGACGTCTCCATCTACCTTCTCCTCTAAGGAACGAACTAAATCGGCCTTCAACTGTGGAGAAAACAAGACACGCCAACGCGATCACAAAAGCCAGCACATAACCAGCAGTACAAGGACTCAGCCGAAAAGAGAGATTCATATATAGCTTTTTTCTGAAATATGGGAAAAGTTTTTTTTTTTTTATAACCCAGAACCCCCGCACGGCCGAGGGAAAAGTTCAATTTCTTTTCTTCAAAAAAAATGATGCATCTGAAGAAAGTAATCCTTTTCTCCGTTCGAAAGCACACCTTATTGGTGATAAGCTAACTCTGTTCTACATCAACCAAATGCTGCAGATACAATGAGAAGACACGAAATGGAAATACCAATAAGCTGCAATGAACTTACATGAAAGAAGAGGCATCTGAACGGGTTTCTGAGCTCTTTGAGATAGATTGGAGGACTGGTCCTTCAGGTTAGAGCGGTTTTCAGGTGGCGAAAAGATCGGTGCTATTTCCGCTAGACAGTCGAGCTTTTAGGCTAGACCGGAGCATTTAGGTGATTCGTGCATGGAGTAGGACAAAAAGAAAAACTAGTTTTTGGCATAGGAAAAACAAGATGGAGATTTCTTGTTCTTTTCAATCTTGTTTTCCCTGGGGGCGAAAACTAGTTTCTGTTTTTGCCCTATTCTAAGTAAAGAGGAGGAAAAAAAAAAGTAGAACGAGGTGACACAAGAAGTGCAATATGTATTCATCCCCGTACTACGTTTTCTATTTTTATTTTTATTTTCATTTTAGTCGCTCACCTACTGTTTATGCTACTTAGTCCCTGCACTTAATCCATGCTTTTGTCTTGGAGCCTAATGAGGCAGCGAAGAGACAAATCTAGTAGCAAAAAAAGTTAGGCATGGACTAAAATGAAAAAAACTGGGGATAAGGATACCACAGGTGCCATAACTTTCCGTTTCACTTATGCCATAACTTGTCGGACGGCGCTCGCGCTCACTGAGCGCCGTGACTTTATTTTTTCATCACTTAAGTGTCATGACTTTTATTTTTTAGATCACTAGAGTTTCCTGACTTCTAAATAACGTTCACCACAAATTTCATTGGGGTGAACGCTTTTTGAAAAGTGAGGGCACTCATTATTTGTGTTTCAGAAGTCATGACACTTAAGTGATAGAAAAACAAGTTATGACATGAGTGCAATACGAAAATTATGACACCTGTGGTGTCACTTACCCCCGAAAAAAGTGTGCAGTGGTACCTTGGTGAGAACGAAACCTTCTACGCGAGAGAGAGAGAGTGGGAGAAAAGAGAGAGAGGCTGGCTTTGGTTAGAGATGTTTTTGAAGCTTGAGCATGGAAGGGCCAAATTTATAGTGGGCACTTGATTCTTGCCAAGCGACTGTGTCTGGTCAAGTCTCCTCCTTGCTTGAGAAGTTAATCCACAGTGCTTGATGGATCCCACATCTGTCCTTGTTTAATCCACAGTGCTTGATGGATCCCACATCTGTCCTTGATTATTCCTTCCCTCTTGTCCTCTTTGCAGCATTTTCCAAGACTTTATTCACCTTCTTGAGGAAGTTTTATGGCCTTCCAATCATCTTTTAGTCTTGTGAAAGTCCTTCGCTCTTTTCTTCCTTTCCTCTATCTACCCCCATATGTGGCAGACAGATTCCTCTTGTGGGGTCATTTTGCCACTACCAAGGAGTGAAAGTTGGCACTATTATGGGATTCTTTTTCTATTTTTTTCCCTACTCATTACTCCAACACTGCACTGTTTTGATCAAATCACTGAACACCCCCGTATTTCCAAAACCCTTACTGTTAACACCACTCCAATTTGGAGGGAGCGCAATGACACCAGAAGCAATGTTTTTGAAGCTCAAACAAACAGAACTAGATCACCCTCAAAACACCATTCTACTTCCCTTGAACCCTCTCAAGGGACTTTATGGAATGAAGCCTTCCTAGGTTGAATACATTCTAGCACACCCCTGTATTTCCAAAACCCTTACTCTTAACGCCACTCCAACTTGGAGGGAGCGCAATAACACCAGAAGTAATGTTTTTGAAGCTCAAACAAACAGAACTAGATCACCCTCAAAACACCATTCTACTTCCCTTGAATCCTCTCAAGGGACTTTATGGAATGAAGTCTCCCTAAGTTGAATACATTCTAGCACACCTGGAAAAGTGGTTTGTGAAAATACAGCGAGTGTCAAGAGTAATTTGGTCAAAACTAGAGCGTTGTCAGGGTAAATTAATCTTTTTTTAACGGTCAAGCCTAACTATGGTCTTTAACTTGTACTATACCTTTAATAGTGTCGGTTCAAATGGATTCTCGGTCCTCATTTCTCGCTTCTTGTGATCTGAGTACATGTATGTAACTCTAGGAAGACTCAGAGCTACCAGCGGCTGCTATTATTTCATTTTGCAAGATATAAAAGCCTCTATTTGTCCTGAACATACAGATAAACATCTTAGGCCCGTTTGGTTTAGCTTTGGGAATGGGCTTTTGGCCTCGAAAGCCCCTTCCCAAAATGCTGAACCGTTTGGTTCAGCTTTTCGAGTGCGAAAAGCTGAAAGCTAGCATTTGGAATGCTGAAGCTTTTTTTTCTCTTCCCAAATTGCCCTCACTCAAATTTCAATATTTCGGTTTTGCCCATATTACTGTTCATCTTCTTCACCGCGAGGGTAGCCCGCGAGGGTGGCAGACGAAGGGCCGGCGAGGGCACATCTGGCCGGCGAAGGGCCGGCGAGGGGCCGGCGAGGTCGCCCGACCCAGGCGAAGGCCACCTGGGGTCGGGCGACCGCCCAGGCGCCGTCACCTGGGTCGCGCGACCTCATGCAACGTCGGCCTGGGTCGCGACCCAGGCGGCCGTCGCCTGGGCGGTCGTCCGACCCCATGTGGCCTTCGCCTGGGTCGGGCGACCTCGCCGGCCAGATCCGCCCTCGCCGGCCCCTCGCCGGCCGCCAGCCAAATCTGCCCTCGCCGGTCACATTTTGGTGAAGAAGATGAATACTGATAAGGGCAAAACAGGAATATTAAAAATAAAAATTGCCAAAGCCCTTTGCAAAAAAAAATTTGCCAAACACTACTTAGGCCAAAATAGCTTCACAAAATTTTTTTTACCAAACGTCACTTGCATTTCCCCAAGTGGCTTTCACCTAAAGGTATTTGCATTCCCGCAAATAGCATTTGAAAAGCCGAACCAAACGGGCCCTTAATCTTTTATAAAAAAAGGCTTTTGTCCTAATGTAGATTAATTAGTTTGCATGTTGTGTTGATGGACCGTGCCTACAAACCTACCAGTCTCATGCGCTTGATCCTTCAATTAGTTTGATAAACTAAAGAAAGAGGGGGAATGATGGACTGCAATTTAAACTTTTAAAGGAGGCATCACTGTGGCAACTTGTTGATTCTCCGCATTATACACAGCAGAGAACGAAGAAAGCAAATTTCAGAGCAGTTGCACATCTAGTTAGATCTTCCAATTCCTTTAAAGCAAAAAGAAGTTCAAAGCATTAGCATATAAAATCCTTGTTGACAGTTGTTGTTAATGATGCTGCATTGCACTAAGGCAATATAGCAGCGAAAATCATAAATTTAATACTTGGCAAGTGATGGCGAACAACAGGAAAATCCCGACGAGCACGTTCCAAAGATTAGACAGTGGAGGATTTGTGGAACTTTTTGTGCTCTTGGCGGTCGGTCTGGTCAATGCAGTCACTGAATTTGCTTTCTCTCTGGCATGTTCAATCTCCCTGCTGGTTTTCTTCCTTGGTGAATTACTGGCTGAACAGTGCTCTCGGTATTTTAGTACCTGCCAACATAACGTGTTTCAAATAGTGAGATGATAAGGAAAAAGAAAGAAAGGATTAACACGAGACCAGAAAATGAAGAATTTTCCTAGTTTTTTCTATTGATTTTCCAAAAAATATGGAACGATGCCAATCAAACTAAAATTTCCAACAATGCACATCAAGACTGGAAGATAATAGCAAGACAAAATCGGTTAAACTGGGAGCTTCTATCACCTTCGCTGTTGCTGCAGCTTCATCCCAAGATACACATTCTGTTTTAACATTTCTCAATGCAATTTCCCGCTTCTTAACCTTTTCGAGCCACGGTTCTTCATTGATATAAACTCTTGGAGGCTCGGGCATTTTTGGTGTCTTGGGCTTTTTTGGAAGCTCCATAGGTTTGGCTGAGGAAACATGTGAGCTGTTGAATTCACTCTGTATGACGGCCTTCTTTTGCTCAAGAGGAACAACACCATGGAGTGACCCAATTGTTCGTGTTTGGCGATTCGCCATTATAGATAGTTGGCCATTCTGCAGCAAAGCATTGCATAAGATCAAATGGATCAACGGAAATAATTAAGGCATTATCTTGATCTTATGACAAGCATTCAAGTTTTTGTTCTCAAATTGTCTGAAAGCTCTAATTTACATGATCGGCCTTTTAGTCATCTGCTATAACCTTGTTCAATATCTCAGCTTCAATTTTTTTTATATTTTTTCTGCTTCGTAGTTCTTCACCATTCTTCTTATTATTTGAATCCAAGTTAATAAAGCATGAGCAATTTACAATGAAATTTTACTTCCTTTTGGTAGAAGAATGCTAGATCCACTTTATGTTTTTCTCAAAGTGGCTTTTAACAAAATCAACCGTTTTCTTAAGTGCCTACAAACCACATATCCAATGAATTGTTCAATGCAGTCGAAAACGGAATCCCCAACATCTAATTAACTACCCAACCAATGCACGTCAACATATAAGAATAGTAATAAGACACGATGGGCTAGTTTAGAAGCTGCTTTCACCTTTGATCTGGCTGCTGTTTCATCCAAAAATATGTATTCTGGTTTGATTCTTCTAGCTGCTGTTTCCTGCTTAACCTTTTCGAATCTTGGCACTTCATCTATGCCATAATATTTTACACTTGCAGAGCATACAAGAGGTGCCATAGGTTTCTTGGGGGCAACAAGTGAACCGTTGAACTTATTCTCCACCATGCCTTTCTTTTCCTCAAGAGGAACAACACCATGGAGTGAGTCGATTGTTCGTGTTCGCCGATTCTCCATTAGAACAGGACACTCATTATGCGAGTTAGATGTTTGCCCGTACTGCAGCAACAGATTTTATGAAATAAAATGAATCAGAGGAAATAACTGAGGCATCAAAATTAATTTCATAACAAACCTCCAAGATTAGGTTTTCAATTGTCCATCGTTCTTATATAATTGAAAGTTAATTAAGCACAAATAAGTCAGCATGAAAGTCCGCTTTTCTTTTTCCGTAGACAGATTCTATAACGAACTTTCTATTCTACACAAAGATATTGAAAGCACATTATCCGCATTTTTCAGATAACCTGGAAAAGGGAAGTGCCCTTTGAGTGCATTTTAAACCAATTTAAACCTAAATTTACCAGTGAAGTAATCACAGCAACCAAATGAAATTTCAAGGGAAGAATTTTGACCAGTGTTTGCATTTGGTCTACTTGGAAGAATTCGTCATCAATAAGATCTCCATTTAGCATGTAACCAATATCTTCATCCTCTCCACTTGTTTCAGACACCAATTGAATATATTCATCAGCAAGGCCGTTTTCCAATGTGAAGTCCATAACAGATGGGCTGTCAAAATTCTCCATCAGGGAATCCATCGTTGCTTGGATCAAATTCTGTATTTACAAGCAAAAGATTAATCATTAACACATTTCGTGTGCTTGACAAGACAGACATTAAGTGTATAAACAGAACATTTTTTCCTCCGCACCTCAGAAAATGAGTCCTCATGATCAGGTTGATGAAGATACGATTCGAAATCTGCCAGGTTAATGGCTCCATGCTCTGATTCTATGGTTGAATTATCAGCCTTCTCATCTCGTCTACGCTTTACGTGACACAGAACATTATTTCTATTCAACTGTCAAAAGACCATGTTATACCAGCTCATACCATTAGATCATATTTTCTTCAACAGTAAAATTTTGCTCACAAATTAAGATTTCAACCTTCTGTAGTAGAAACTGAGCAAAAAAAAAAAAAATTTGTTTCTCTGCTACTTTAGGACACGTGGAAACTTTTAATGAGTGTTTCTGCAGATTATTGTAGCTATACTTCTGATAGATCGAATTCTTGCAGCTTGCTAAGTAATTGTAACGAAAAAAAAAAGGGATAGATTGAGTACATCATTGTTGAGGAGATGATATTCATGGATGACCCAGTTGGTCTGGACGCCATCCTGGAAGACTAATGGTATCTTGGAACCGATCTTTTGCTCGTCATTTCCAGCCTTAACATCTTTATGTGGACCGGTGATCTTCCAAGAAAAACCACATGGTGTTTTCCTGCTAATCCGTTGGTTCTGCGTCTGCGCACATATGAACCACCATTCTCGATCATTGGATGGAATGATGGATTCCTCTGCATGAACATTAAAAGAACTCTTTTGAGTCATGAGTAAGGGGGCTACTGTTCTTTTTCTGAGGCCCTCTGATGAAGTTGCGAAGGACTTACCCTTGAACTTGGCTGGTAAATCCCATGGATTAATCTTATAGATGTCATTTAGTGTCGGAATAACGCAGAAACTCTCTCTCCATCCGGGTACTTCCGACTTCAAGTAACCGATTAGTTCCTCCTCGGTTGGACGGAATCCGTAGCCGACTATTGCCTGCTGCAGGGATAGCGCAATCGCCGTGACTTCAAAATTCATCGGATAGATCCTCGTTTCCATATCTTGGTTTCTTCTCTCACGCAAGTGAAGTTCAAGCTAGCTGAAATTGAGAACTCAGGGGAGTGAGCTTATACACGCGCTGAATTTTTTTTGCTTGGGGGGTCTTTGTTGAAGTCTTCTCCTTCCTCAAGAAGTCACCCACTCACCATGACAAAGACCTCCATTGATGGATTCGTACAATCAAGTGATGGTGATCCATGACAGAGATTATTTTATTTCCCAATTCTGTAACTTAATGGGCCAACAAAAAAAACATATAAGTCTGCGTCCAATTCTCCAAATTGTATTGTAAGCCCCATGAAGCTTCCGTAGCCACTGTCCTTAGCCCATTTCTCATTTAATCTGCAGCTAGTGTTCAGTAGAGAGAAGAACACAGAATCGGCAAAAGAACATGAAAGAAGGAAATAATAGACCGGGTGAGCTGCAAGAGAACAGAAAGACGAGAGGAGGAATCGATCATGGGCTGCTGAAAATGTTGACTGATAGGATTTTGAAGCTTTCCGAGGGGAAAATTGTCCAAAAAGTCCTAAACCTATTGTACTTTTGCTAATTTAGTCCTAAACCTTTTAAGTTTGTCAATTCAGTTCTAAACCTTTTCACTTCTTGTCAATTCAGTCCTAAACAATTTCACTTCTTGCCAATTGAGTTCATTTGGCCGGCCGGCGCTGATGTGGCCGCCGACCGGCACTCACGTGGTAGTCGGCCGTCCGACCAACGCTAATGTGACAATTTTTTAATATTTTTTCAAATATTTTAATATTTTTTTCTTTTTTTTTCTAACTTCTTCCCTCCCTCTGGCCGGTCCAGCGATTGGCGACAGGCCAGAGGCAAGTGCTGGCGAGGTCCTTTGGCGAAGCCCGCCCTCGCCAGCCACTGGCGAGGGCAAGCCTCGCCCAGCCAAGGCGAGGCCCACCTTGCCGTCGCAACCCAATCGAGAGAGATGGGCCGCAAAGCCATTCATTACAGCCAAGGAGGGACAGCGAAGTTACCTGGCAGGGACGCGGGTTGGTAGTGGATTTTCTAGAAGAAGTTGACCCCGCATCCTGGCTTCTAAAACCGGGGGGGATTCATAAGGTCGTGATCGATCGTAGACATGTCCGGCTTTGGCCTTTAAATCAAATGGAAGGTGCTCGCTCGATATTTGCGGTTGGGATGCACGATATGAATTCGATTCCGACTAGTTTCCATACGAACCGGGTGAATCTCGATCGTTGATGCGGGTGGGACCTCACGGGAGATTCACATAGGTGAAATTCGTAGAGATTTAAGCCTAGAGATGTGCCCCATTAAGAATGTTGTTAAGTAAAGAGAAAAGGGTCGTGGGGATTGAAGATGGCAATGAGCTGGACTTAAGATAAGTCAGGCCACTAAAGCCTTCCAAGGTGCGGAAGACGACACGGCAGGCTCCGCACGTCTTGCCTCTTGGGGCTTCCTCCAAGAAACCGGCATTTCCCTAGTATGTTTTCTGGGATGAAGTTTCGTCTTTGAGATAATTACATAAATGATCCATAAATTTTAATTTAATGTGCAACATCATCCCCGAACTTTTAATTTGTTCAATCTGATTCCTGAACTTTTGGTTTATGTTTAATCTAGTATTTGGGCTATATGAAGATATCCAATGTTATCTTTCCATTGATTCAAATTAATGGAGTTTACCGATTTAGCTTCTAATCCGGTCGGTGGAAAAAAAAATACGTTGCGCATGGATTATCTACGTAAGATATTCAACTCAAATTAGAACATAATAATACTTTTAATTTTTTTTAATTTGTTCAAACGATTATCAATGTTATTCGATTACGTGGAATATTATTTTCTGTTTTGAGTTGAATATCTTACGTGGATAATCCACCGTTCAAACGTACTTGATGGAAAGCTAAATCGGCAAATTCCAAGGTGCGAAAGACGACACGGCAGGCTCCGCAGATCTTGCCTCTTGGGGCTTCCTCCAAGAAACCGGCATTTCCCTAGTATGTTTTCTGTGATGAAGTTTTATCTTTGAGATAATTACATAAATGATCCATAAATTTTAGGGTTAATACTACCAAAAACCTCAAACTGGTACGCGTATGATAATTTTACCCCGAACATTTTTTTTAACCATCAAAAACCTCAAATCGGTACACCTGTGATAATTTTACCCCGAATTTATCACAAAAAACCCCAAACTGGTAAACCCGTGACAAATTTACCCTGAACTATTTTTTTGACCACCAAAAACCCCAAACTGGTACACCTGTGACAATTTTATCCCGAATTAATATTTTTTAATATTATTTTTTATTTTTTCGAATTATTTATTTATTTTTTTCTTTTCTTTTCTTTTTATTCATCTTCAACCTCTGGCCGGTCGTCGGACCAGCGACCGGCCAGAGGCGGAAGCCGGCGAGGTCGGCCCCGCCGGCCGCTGGCGAGGCTCAACCTCGCCGGCGGGCGAGGTCGGCCTTGCCGACCGCTGGCGAGGCTCAACCTCGCCGACGCGGGCGAGGGCCGCCCTCGCTAGATCGGGCGAGGGTTGTCCTCACCCGCCTAGGCAAGGGCTGTCCTCGCCCGACGTAGGCGAGGGCCGCCCTCGTCTGAGTCGGGTGAGGGCTATCTAGCGAGGGCAGCCCTCGTCTGAGTCGGGCGAGGATAGCCCTCGCCCGACGCTGGTGAGGGCGGCCCTCGCCGCCCGCCTCTAACCTGGTCGGCCCGGCGGCCAATGACTCATTCGACACCTAATTTTTAGTTCATTTTTTTTTTCATATTTTCAAAAATTTTAAAAATAGGGCTAGGAATCTTGGCCAAGCCTAGAAACCTATTTCTAAATCAAAAAATAATTTTTTAGCATTTTTCTGCATTTTTCCTTAATTTCTTTTAGTCAAAATAAGTGATAAAATCAAGAAAAATAGTAAATGGATTCAGAAAATTCCATAAAAATATTCATTAGTCTTATTTTAAATCCAATTTCATTAATACATCATCAATTTTGAAAAATCTCAATCGGATATATGTTTTTTTTCCCAAAGTAGGGCAAAATTAAACTCGAATTGAACCAAAAATGCAATTAAATTTTTTCTAGTCATTTTTAGGTCATAGTGTCTTCACAACAAATGATTCTGGGACCTTGAATTTCATAATGGTCGGTCCAATTGCACAATTTGGCATAAAAATAAAAAAAATCCCCAAAATTAGATTGAAAATTAAGAATTTTGAACCCAAATTGGGAATCGTGCCCAATATGAAATTGTCGAACCATGAGGTTATCATTTCTAGGGTTAATCAGATGTGGGTAATTCAATTTTGGCATCAATTTTGCCTAATCAGGTCATTAGGACATCAAATTGAACAAAACCCTATTAACCCGAATACAAAAATGTGAAAATCTTGGACATAATTATGACAAAAATTGGAGAAAATTATATATTTTGGTTCGAAATGTGATGGAAAATTCAATTTTGGGGTTTAATTCTGAAAATTGGGTCAAAATTGAGCTTAATTGACGAATTTAGACCAACCCGGGTCGATCACCTTCTTCACCCGGCTTGCCCAAAACACACTAAACCCAAAAAAAACCATTTCAAGCCCGCGATTTCATCGATCATTTCCAGCTATTTTAGCACGTGAAAATCGACTGGGCCAGCTGGAAAATCTCCAGCTGGCACCAGTGAACCGATCTAACCGATCGGTAATCGGTTCTAACGATTTTTGGACGGGAATTTTTGATGAAAAAAAAACAAAAAAAAACTGAAGAAGGGAGGGGAACCTATTTGATGAATGGCCGAAGAGAGAGAGAGAGAACCAGAGAGAGAAAAAGCTTGAGAAGTGGGTTGAGACTCCTTGAGGCCGAGTGATCGGCGCTTTTCCGATTGAAAGGCGCCGGCAAATCGGTCTCGTCGGTGAGTTTCCTCACCGGCAAACCAGAAGCGAAGTTGGTCGTCAAGGCCTGAAAATCGACCTCGGTAGAAGCGTTCAGAGCCTCTCCGGCGAATCCAAAGCCATAGTCTTGAAGCTGAAGTGTCAAAGAAGCGTCATACGGTCGTCGAAAGTCCTGAAAATCTCATTTGACGCCCCACGAAGCAGGTAAACTTCGATTCCTATCACGGTTTGTCAAAATTTCTAGATTGTAGGTTGGAGCTTGATTTTGCTAATCGGATGGTTCTTTTTACAATTTT